TTGGTTGCCCCATCGAGGATTGACCCCTGAAATCTGGGTATGTGCCCTGACTGGAAATCAAACCTACAACCCTTCAGTTCAGGGAATGGTGCTTCAACCAACTGAGCTACACTGGCCAGGGCCATTTTGTCATTTTATCTTTGCAATTAATTCATCAACTATTTCCAGCTGTGCCAAATAAAGACTAAAATAGTAAGTCAGCAGGAAAATGTGGAAGTGCCCAGAAGGATGATGCAATAGTGAAATAAGTTATCATTATCAGTTTGATTATTGCATAGCCTGTTAATACTCCTTTTTCAAGAATTGTATTTTTAATGTTCAGTAAAGAAATATACCTTTACTTTTTGCCATATCCACCAACTTAATGTTTAAAGACGGGATATTAATATAATCTAATTTAGTTTCTAAGTTAAATTTTTTCTTTTATAACCTCATGAGAGTTGCAAAATCAGAAACATATTTATTTTTTCTCCTTTTTTCTGCCCCTCCTTACTTTTACTCTCTTTAGTCACTCTTACCCTCCATAAACCAAATGTTTGGAATAATTATTTTCCTTTTACACAGAAGTCATTTAACAAGTGTATGCCATACAAATAGAGTTTCTTCAGGCTCTATTTAATATAATGAAGAGAATGTTGATAATCTTTAAATAGACATGTACACAAACTAATAAAATTATTGTTCAAGTTAGGGACAAGACAGTGGATCCACTGACAAGCCAGTAAATCACATTATTTTGTAAATATTTTAGTTTTAAAATATATTGCTTATGCCCTGGCCAATGTGACTCATTTGGTTAGAGCATCATCCCGTACACCAAAAGGTGGCAGGTTCAATTCCGGGTGTGTGCCGGTCAGGGCACATACCCAGGTTTCCAGTTCAATCCCCAGTTGGGGCGGGTTCAGAAGGCAGGCCCATCTATGTTTTCGATGTCTTCTCCCTCTCCCTTCTCCTATCCCTCTCCCCCTCCCTCTCCCTCTTCCTCCCCCCTCTCCCTCACCTTTCCCCTTCCTCTCTCTAAAATCAATAAAATAAAATATATTGCTTGCAAATCTAAAGTAGCCTAATTCTTTTTATTTTATTTGATGTTAAATATGACATGTTACATTTTGTAAATTTAAAGCGTGTAGCCTGTTATTTTTAAACATTTATATATTGTAACATGATTGCCATTGAAGCAATATTTATCACAATACATCATTGTAATATAATATTCTATATTCATTATACTGTGCAATAGATTTCTATGGCTTCTTCTTTTTTATTAACTTTACTGGGGATACATCTATATAATAAAAGCCCAGTGACCGAATGGCGGAATGAACAGAATGACCGCGGTCCCTTGCCCCGGCCAAGTCCCACCCCCAAGCGGCCCCCAACACCCCTAAGTCACTGCCTGGCTCCCTGGTGCATGTACATTTAGTGAAAGCACAAGAAAATAATGATCAGTCCCTTCTGTCCCCAACCAGAGTCTCCAAAGGGCTCTGCTAATACTGCAGCCAAGGTGTGGAATTCTCCCTCCACGTCCTGCAGCCCCAGGAGACCTTCCAAGTTAGCCAAAAAGGCGACCTCGGCATTAACGGGATGGTGGCCCTTTGTGAGGAATGTAGAGACGCTGGATGGAGATTTTGTGAAATTTCGGTGCCTTGCAGATTAGGTGAGCTTTCAATCTCTCTTTAAAGGGGTGGCAAAGAGGACCCCCAGGCTGCCAGGAGCAATAACGAAGGGTAGGCACATTCAAAAACAAAAAAAAAACTTTTAAAAAAACAGACATGAAGATCATATTGGGAAACTGAGGGCAGAGCCCCGGGAAGAATGCAAAAATTATTAAAGGGCCATCATCCATCTTGATATACATTTCAAACAACACATAAACAACTTCAGCTCATGGCACATGAAATGCAAAACAGTTCTGTTGTGGGTTTTCTTTTGGCCATCCTTAAAGTATAATTAGATCCAGCTGGTGGAAAGCTATAGCTTCCAGCATTAGACCCCACAGCCGGCCCCGTCCAGTGGGGGGGGGGGGGGGCTGTCAGACCCCACCCATGCACAAATTCGTGCACCGGGACTCTAGTTAGTTAATAAGATCATATAGGTTTCAAGTGTACATTTCTATGATACATGATCTGTATATTGCGTTGTGTGCCCACCACCCAAAGTCAAGTCATCTTCCATCACCTTAAGCTTCTTTATTACTGATTACAAGTTTGTACCCTAATACTGTCAGCCTTACCCCCCATTTCCTATCCCCTTAAAACCCCATATTATTCTTAGTTTTATTACAGGTTGACTGTTTCAGATTCTACATGTAGGTCATACTATACATATACTTATTCTCTCACATAATCTCACTTAGCATAATGTTCTCAGGGTTTATCTGTGTTGTTAGATAGATAGATAGATAGATAGATAGATAGATAGATAGATAGATATTATATACATATATCTCATCTTTTTAATATGTTCACCTGTTGATAGGCATTTGGGTTGTTTCCATATCTTGACTATTGTTAATGCTGCAATTAATACAGGCATGCATATAGATTGGGTATAGAAGAAGCCAAATCCTTAAATGTGTGTTAACATTTAAATATTTTTAACTGAATATACTCAATTAATTTTAAACACTTGGTGACATTCTGAAGTAATATTCTTATAAAACCAAGCAAGTGAAATGTTATTTTGGTGGTTAAAAATAGTGTAGTTGTCTTTTTACTAAAAGAAAATGAGTCCAGCTAATTCTATCTTGAAATTAAGCAATTTTAACATTAAGAAGTATATGTAGCCGAAACCGGTTTGGCTCAGTGGATAGAGCGTCGACTTGTGGACTGAAAGGTCCCAGGTTCGATTCCGGTCAGGGGCATGTACCTGGGTTGCGGGCACATCCCCAATAGGGGATATGCAGGAGGCAGCTGATCGATGTTTCTCTCTCATCGATGTTTCTAACTCTCTATCTCTCTCCCTTCCTCTCTGTAAAAAATCAATAAAATATATTAAAAAAAAAAGAAGTATATGTATTAGGCATTAGTAATATTTTACATTCATAATACTATAATATCTGTAGGTCTCAATGAGCTGTATTATATCTAAGTATTATACCTCCTTTTCTTTTTTTCCTGAATTTCTCAATTAAAGTTTATACTATAGAAATGAAAAGGTAAGACATAGAAAAGATGTAAAAAGGATTTCTCCCACTTTGGTTGTTTAAGGCATAGAAAAGGAAGTTATCTAAAGAAATTTGGCTCACTCGGTTTCCTAGAGTTTTTAAATTGTAGGGTCTGAGTGAATTTAGGCCTTAAGAAGTCTCAGAATTCTACTTTCTTAGGCATTTCATTTTCTGCTGGAATGGTGGTAGGTGTTGCTACTGAGTGGCACCTGAAGCAGTCTATCAGGAAATACAATCTTTGATTTACAGATTTTCTTATTAAAAAGCAGGTTTCTATGAGAAATTATTTTTCCTCTCTCTGCTGTATGTATTGGTGCTGTTTATAGAACTTCTCAAAGAGATTAATGAAGAATAATCACCTTGATTTAGATAGACTTTTCTGGAAGCAGTTACTCACCTTCCTTTCAAATCTATTCTAAATGTCTTTCTTTTCCACTTTTTTACATGTTGATGTGCTTAGCTTAGTTTATACACATAGTTATATGTATATGTACTATAGCAACCATATTTTTTAAACTAAAAATTGGTGCAAGTATCCTAACACATTTTTTAAATTGTTTTTCACTTTAAAATATTTTTAAAAGATTTTTCAAATCATAGATTTTATTTTAATTTAGTTATACTTATTGATATAAATTCACAAAAAAGAAATAGCATGGGTGGGAAGAAGAGTATTTTATATTAGGAATGTCTTACAAAAATAGGGTTACACATTTACCTGTAACTTGTCTTCTGCATCTGATAGGAATGGACCTCACATTTAAATTTCTACATAGAGCACATAAGTAAAAATTTTAAAAGTCGATGGGATCAATGGTGATGAAAAAAAATAAATTAAAAAAATCTAAAATAAAAGTTGACACATTAAAACATTGATAGATATGAATGAGCACATAAAGAATCATTCTCTGCTGTTTTTATTTTTTTTAATATATTTTATTGATTTTTTACAGAGAGGAAGGGAGAGAGATACAGAGTTAGAAACATCGATGAGAGAGAAACATCGATCAGCTGCCTCCTGCACATCTCCTACTAGGGATGTGCCCGCAACCAACCAAGGTACATGCCCTTGACTGGAATCGAACCTGGGACCTTTCAGTCCACAGGCCGACGCTCCATCCACTGAGCCAAACCGGTTTCGGCAATTCTCTGCTGTTTTTAAAGTCATGGTAAAAATTAAGGATAAATAAGCTTGTTATTAATATTTAAATGTTTATGAATATGACTAAGACTGTCAGTACTTTGCACAGGCCTACAAAATAATCTTATCCTTAGTGCATTCATTTCTTTGAAAACAGAAATTCTAAAAAAATTAGCTAACGGAATATCGGATGTTTGGAGGAGGATGCCAGAAGTGAATCTGTTCTGTATGCCTCACCCACATTCGACTCATCAGATGGGTCCATGCCGTGTGCATCTCAGTCTCTCATTCTGCACTTCTGCCTGTTTTCCCTAAGCTCCCTGTAATATAAGGAACTAATTCTAGCTCCCTTACAGAGCTATATTGCTATAAAGTACATTAAGCATTCACATTACTTGGCAGAAGTGTGCCTGTGAAAATTCAAAAACTTGGTGGGCTTTGGAAGATAGTTAAATAATATTAAAGTATTTAATTGATTTGATCATTTTTATAATATTTAATTCATAGCATTTCCAACAGATTTCTAATATAATAGGAATGGCAATAACTACTAAAGAAGTGACTATAATGCGTACTTATGTATATTATAGTATATATGTAAAGTACAAGTACATTTTTTTTTTGCTTGTAGGTATCATAGTACAATTCTAATTCTGCACCTCCTTAACTATTTTCTGTGTTTATATTTTTTAGAACACTGATATTTGCATTTAATGAACAAAAGATGAAAAAGGAGACTCAAGATATTCACTAAGGATTATATCTGCTTGCTGCTGCAGACCTATGTATTAAGGAATTCTGCTTTTTCTTGCTTAGGAGTTGATCAGCTCTGTGTCAGACTGCATTGGAGTTTGTTTGCCTCTTATCTTGTCATTGCCAGAAGAAATCCTGTTCAGTATGTAACCGTACATCACTGTCTAATTGCTATTGAAGATGATAAACTGACACTCACTTATTAAAGCTATATCTCACTCACCCACAGAAAACCATTCTTTAAAGTGAACAGAAACCTAGCCCTCGTGACACTTCTATTGAACATGACTCATGGAGAAGAGCTTGTCTCCGATGTGCACCAGGATTCTGTTGTTTTAACTTACCTAGAAGGATTACTAATGCATCAGGCAGCAGAGGGATCAGGTACTGCCGTCGACAAAAAGTCTGCTGGGCATAATGAAGATCAGGACTTTAACATTTCTGGTCATGCATTTCCTACCTGTCAGAGTAATGGTCCAGTTCTCAATACACATACATATCAGGGATCTGGCATGCTGCATCTCAAAAAAGCCAGACTGTTGCAGTCTTCTGAGGACTGGAATGCTGCAAAGCGGAAGAGACTGTCTGATTCCATCGTAAATTTAAACGTAAAGAAGGAAGCTTTGCTGGCTGGCGTGGTTGACAGTGTGCCTAAAGGCAAACAGGATAGCACATTACTGGCCTCTTTGCTTCAGTCGTTCAGCTCTAGGCTGCAGACTGTTGCTCTGTCACAACAAATTAGGCAGAGCCTCAAGGAGCAAGGATATGCCCTCAGTCATGATTCTTTAAAAGTAGAGAAAGATTTAAGGTGCTATGGTGTTGCATCAAGTCACTTAAAAACTTTGTTGAAAAAGAGTAAAGCTAAGGATCAAAAGCCTGATACCAATCTTCCTGACGTAACTAAAAACCTCATCCGAGACAGGTTTGTAGAGTCACCTCATCGCGTTGGACAAAGTGGTACAAAGGTCATGAGTGAACCCTTGTCATGTGCTGCAAGATTACAGGCTGTTGCAAGCATGGTGGAAAAAAGGGCTAGTCCTGCCACTTCACCCAAACCTAGTGTTGCTTGTAGTCAGTTAGCATTACTCCTTTCAAGTGAAGCCCATTTACAGCAGTATTCTCGGGAACATGCTTTAAAAACACAAAATGCAAATCAAGTGGCAAGTGAAAGACTTGCTGCTATGGCCAGATTACAAGAAAATGGCCAGAAGGATGTCAGCAGTTTCCATCTCTCAAAAGGAATGTCAAGCCATCTTAATGGTCAAGCAAGAACATCATCGAGCACACTAATGACTACCAAAAGTACAACATTTCAAAATCCAATGGGTATCGTTCCTTCTTCCCTAAAAAATGCAGGCTATAAGAACTCACAGGAAAGAAACAACATAAAACAAGCTGCAAATAATAGTTTGCTTTTACATCTTCTTAAAAGCCAGACCATAACCGCACCTATGAATGGACACAATCATAGTGAGAGAGGAAGCATTTTTGAGGATAGTAGTACACCTACAACTATTGATGAATACTCGGATAATAACCCTAGTTTTACAGATGATAGTAGTGGTGATGAAAGTTCTTATTCCAACTGTGTTCCCATAGACTTGTCTTGCAAACACAGAGTTGAAAAACAAGAACCTGACCAACCTATTTCTCTGGATAACTTAACACAATCCTTGCTGAACACTTGGGATCCAAAAGTCCCCAACGTAGATATTAAAGAAGATCAAGATACCTCAAAGAATTCTAAGCTAAATTCACACCAGAAAGTAACACTTCTTCAATTGCTACTTGGCCATAAGAATGAAGAAAATGTGGAAAGAAACAACAGCCCTCAGGAAGTACAGAGTGATGTGACAAAATTCAATAAACAGATGTATGCGAGGACTTCTGTAATAGAAAGCCCCAGCACACATAGGACTACTCCTGTGAGCACTCCTCCATTACTTGCATCTACCAAAGCAGAGTCTCCCATCAATCTCTCCCAGCACTCTCTGGTTATCAAATGGAACTCCCCACCATACGCCTGCACTCAGTCTGAAAAACCAACAAACACCACATCTAACCACTTGATGGATCTTACAAAGAGCAAAGAGTCGCAAGGAGAGAAACCAGTCCATAATGAAAGTACACAGAACTCTGCGACTTTCAGTGCCAGTAAACTGTTACAAAATTTAGCGCAGTGCGGAATGCAGTCTTCCACTTCAGGAGAGGAGCAGAGACCCAGTAAACAGCTGAGTGTAAATACAGATAAACCCATAGCTATGATCGATAGACTAAGTAGCCCTCTGCTCTCAAATAAAACAAATGCAGTTGAAGAAAGTAAAGTCTTCAATAGTCAGGCAACAGGTTCTGAACCAAGACTTTCTGGTTCTGAAATAGAAAATCTGCTTGAAAGGCGCACTGTTCTCCAGTTGCTCCTGGGAAACCCCAACAAAGGGAAGAGTGAAAAGAAAGAGAAAATTCCTTTGAGAGAGGAAAGTACTCAGGAACATACAGATAGAGCTTTAAGTGAACAAATATTGATGGTAAAAATAAAATCTGAGCCTTGTGATGACTTACATATTCATAATACAGATGTGCACTTGAGCCATGATGCTGAGTGTGCCCCATTCTTAGATATGGCTCCCCCCATACAGAGAAGTGCAGCTGCCTTACCAGCTTCCGAGGACTTGAAATCGGAGCCCCTTTCACCTCAGGATTTTTCTTTCTCAAAGAATGGTCTGTTAAGTCGACTGCTGAGACAAAATCAAGAGAGTTATCTGCCTGATGATCTGGACAACAGTCACAGACATAGTGAACTGACACTTCTAGAATCAAAGAATCTTTGCATGGTCCCTAAAAAAAGGAAGCTTTATACTGAGCCATTAGAAAATCCATTTAAAAAGATGAAAAATAGCATCCTCGATGCTGCAAACAGTCACAGTGCCCCAGAGGTGCTGTATGGGTCCTTGATTAACCAGCAAGAGCTGAAATTTAGCAGAAATGATCTTGAATTTAAATATCCTGCCAGTCATGGTTCAGCCAGTGAAAGTGAACATAGGAGTTGGGCGAGAGAGAGCAAAAGCTTCAATGTTCTGAAACAGCTGCTTCTCTCAGAAAACTGCATGAGAGATTTGTCCCAGCACAGGAGTAACTCTGTTGTTGAGAGTAAAAAGAAAGGACACAAAAATAATGTGACCAATAGCAAACCTGAATTCAGCATTTCTTCTTTAAATGGACTGATGTACAGTTCTTCTCAGCCCAGCAGTTCCATGGATAACAGGACATTTCCATACCCAGGAGTAGTAAAAACTCCCATGAGTCCTCCTTTTCCTGACCGCTTGGGCTGTGTGGGGTCTAGACCAGAATCTGGATTTTCTAATGGGTGTTCCATGACCAGTGACAAGGGACCCATTAAGTGGGTTATCACAGACATGGATAAGAATGAGTATGAAAAAGACTCTCCAAGACTGACCAAAACTAACCCAATACTGTATTACATGCTCCAGAAAGGAGGCAATTCTGTTACCAGTCGAGAAACACAGGACAAGGACATTTGGAGGGAGCCTTCATCTGCTGGAAATGTCTCACAGGTTACAATCAAAGAAGAGTTACTTCCTGCTGCAGAAACTGAAGCTTCTTTCTTAAATTTAAGAAGCCCTTATAATAGCCATATGAGAAACAATGCCTCTTGCCCACACAACGCAAATGGAGAAGTTTATGGACTTCTGGGAAACGTGCTAACGATAAAAAAAGAATCAGAATAAAATTTACTCTGCTATTTAGCTTTGGATCTTTTTAAAACTAATTAGTTGAACTTGAGATCTGTATAAATAAGAGCATGATTTGAGAAAAGCATGGTATAATTGAAACTTTTTTCATTTTGAAGAGTATTGGTTACTGGTAATGTTTAAATATGCACACTGCTTTTTGCTTTACGTTAGTTCATGAGGAAACTACTGAACTACTGGTTGTTTAACACTTCTGTATGCATCAGATAACTGTGAGTAGCCTATGAATGAAATCTTTATGATCACAGATAATAGGCATAAATTAAAATGTAAATTTCCATCCATGGTGGATAAATGCATTTTGTTGCCTTTAAGAGGGTACTCTATTTTGATTTCAGAAGTCAGCCTACATAACATTTTTTTAAAGTCCAAATTGTTAAATAACTCTTTAAAAGGTAATTATTGAATAAAAAACTTAATGCTGATTCACTTTTCATTATCCAATTCAAAAATAAATTAGAAAAAAAATATGCTTACATTTTTCACTTTTGCTAAAAAAAAAACATTTATTTTTAACTCTTGGAAAGGGTTTTGTGGTTTCCAGTGTGTCTCCCCCACCCCAGTCCTTTTCAATATATATTTCTTTAAACCTTGTACTAATTAGTAAAAATTGATTACAATTGATGGAAGTTTGATAGATCCTTAAAAAAGAGCAGATTTCCATTTTTATATTTTAACTACTGTACTACTATTCCTCCTTTTACATAATTAGGAAAGTTAACATTTATCTTCAGGTGGTTTCCTGAATAGCTGAATATTTAAGAAGTTTTTAACAGAAGCAAAATGGCTTTTCTTTGGACAGATTTCACCATGTCTAGTAAAAGTTACTTCTCACCATTACTATGGTACCTGTGAGTCTTATGACCGGGATTTCTTAAAGCTGCACCCAGACCACCTGCATTAGAATCATTTCTGGAGTACTTGTTTTAAAATGCATATTCCTAGGTAGCACCTCAGATCTACAGAACAAGAATCTCTGCTAAGTGCACCTGGGAGTCTTCCATCTGCATCTGAACACATTTAAGAGGAAACCCCTATGTGTTTCTTCTATACAATGAAGTTTGAGAACCATTGTTTATAACCTTTCTCATAACACTGGACTGTAAAAAAAAACCCCACTATTTGATGCCTATATTTTCCCCAATAGTCACACATCAATGAAATATTTGCAATATTGTAGTTCATATATTACTGTTATATCTTTGGAAATCAGGTTCAGAACACTTTTTATGACAAAAAAAATAATGGGTGGAGGGGACAACTTTCATATCTGGCTGAACATCTCAGGAAAATCTGTGATTATGTGTTCTAATGAGTAACATCTACTTAATTAGCCTTAGGGATGGAATAACAGGGCCACTTACCAAACTCAGGTGATTCTAGGATGGTTTAGAAACTTCTCCTGAATACATCCTTAACTTCTATTATAATCATTGTCCTAACAACAGTATTGACAAAGATGGAAACATTTATTTCAAACCAAGAAAGGCCCTAGACTCAGATCAACTAAACAGAAAAGTACAAAGGGCACATATACATGACAGTAGAATTCTACACAGTCACTCTGTTGATCTATTTTAAAATAGTGGTTAAAAGTGAACATCGATACTGTCTCGGAAGAACTTAATACATTATTGGGCCACCTGGGGTTTTGATCTTGAAACAAGTCATGTTTTTAAGTTCACTTTTTACAATTCACAATACACTCACCAGATTTTTTTTAAATTGTGAACCAGATTACCTAACTGATGAATCAAAAATTGTTGTATTATCAACTATTAATAAGAAGGAAATCTATTTGAAGTTGTTCTACTTGAAGTTGTTTCTAAGACTTTTATATTAAATATGGGCGTTATTTCCTAATATGATCAAAACCCATAAATGATTATTTTTTTTTCTCAGAATGATTTGTAAATAGTTACTGAGTATATTATAAATAATAATCAGGAGTGAATATTATGCTACATCCTGGAGAGAAGAAAGTCATATGCTTATTCTGAAATGAAAATTCCACTGCCCAGTGCATATATTCTACTCCATCCCATATTTGCTCTGGCAATTGTATTGTCTACACTATATAAAGAAGCTTTTAAACAAGTCATTTTTTTCTGCCATTATGAAATATCTAGAATCTTGGAGGCATGCTAGAAAAAAAATGGGCTTTTACAAAAGCGATAAACTTAGGTCAGGGAGAAGAACATCAAGGGCCAGCATTAAGCATTACTATTTTTGTATGTTTCTTTGGTTGGTTGGTTGTTATTGTTAACAGTTGAAGGAATATGGATATGTAATACATAAATAAACATGACCACACAGAATGCTGTATTGACTTACTAAAGAATGTCCCCAATTTGAGTTTAGGATAATTTTAAAGAAGAGCAGTGAGAAAGGACATACATCCATAAATTCACTTTGTTTATGCAAATGTAGATACAAGGTACACAAATACACATATTCAAGAACTATTAAATATCTAGACAGTTTCTTCCTAATTGAAAGGTTACTACAGCTCTCATTGACATCAGTAAGGTAGTATTACCTGTTTATTCCCTGCTGCATCTTACAGAAGAGTAAACTGGTGAGAGTATATATTTTATATATATATATATAATATGTATATATATATATATATATAGACTTGTTACATGAAGATGTTAAAATCGGTTTTTAAAGATGATGTAAATAATAATTTCCTTAATGAAAAATACATATTTTGTATTGTTCTAATGCAACAGAAAAGCCTTTTAATCTCTTTGGTTTCTGTATATTCCATGTATAAGTGTAAATATAATCTGACAGGTTTAAAATTTGTGCATGTATGTATACAGTTGCAAGTCTGGATACATGTATAGAATAAACCTTTTATTTAAGTTGTGATTACCTGCTGCATGAAAAGTGCATGGGGGATCCTGTGCATCTCTGCATTTGGCAAAATGTCTTAAGTCAAATCAGATGTTCATCCCAACATGGCAGTATTCCATTTCTAGACATGAATTCTGTGGTTTCAGCTTCGTGAAAGAATGTGCTTTGGATCCAAGGGTCTTAAAACTTTTTAAAATCAAGTCAACCACTTTTCAACATAGAGTTCACACAACTACTTTCATGAATTTTTTAATCCCATTGGAAACCAATATTATGCCAGGAGTATTCCAGTATACTGGAATACAAGCACATCACCATTCATGGTGTGAATCTGGGGTTTACACAACCAATTTTGATGCGATCTCATTATATAATTTGTCATTTTTATTAGAAACTTAATTTCTTCATGTGATGTCTTGAAACTGTACATACTGCAGTGTGAATTTTTTTTGTTTTGTTTTTTAATCTTTTAGTGTTTACTTCCTGCAGTGAATTTGAATAAATGAGGAAAAAATGCATTATTTCTGGTTTGAAATGACTTTATTTTGTGCGTTTTCTCTGAATTTTAGTTTTCCATAAACAAAAGAAAATCTGTGGTTGTGAAAATAGCAATAAGTCTTCAAGGATGGTTTGCCCTTCTCAGAAAAAAATAAAGGCACAAAAGAAGAATGCAGCCTGCAAGTTAGTTTATCTAGAGACAGGGCAATTGAAGTGCATAGCTCAGAAACACAATCAGCCTATTGTCTGTGATACCTAACTTTAATTGTGTTATTTGGCATGTAACTGGAATGATCACTGTAGAGTTTTAAAGTGGAAAAGAATTTGTATAGTGTCCAGGATAAAGTAATTTGATATATATTTGTTTTAAGATAAGATTTTATTAGAAGGTTTTTATCCAAGTTTCAGTGGGTGTTATTTTTAAATAAAAGAAATAAGGTTTTCATCATTTTTCAAAAACGAATGTGTGTGTGCACACATATATATGCAAATATATACTGTATGTATATCGGTAATGAGTACTTGAGAATGATGAGCAAATGCATATGTAATAAATAGAGGCCAATTTATTTTTTTTTAAAAAAAAACAACTGGGAATTTTTATTTTTACAAATATTTATTAATGGCAATTTAGTTCAGGAGGATGGTGTCTGGCACTAAAATAGGCTTATTAATATCTAACAGTGAACATTTGCAGCATCTTCCCAACAGGTATATAAATACTGTTTAAAAAAATCGAAGCAATAGAAATATATCCAGCTTTTCTACATTATTAAAATGTTGAAAAGTTAGACCCTGCTATACGTGTAGACCCTAACATGCTTTGTTTATTGGTTTATATGGTTAAAAAGCATAACAATTGTATCAAGTAATACAGTATCTGAGAGGGATTTTTTAAAGAGAACCACCAGTTAGTAATTCTTGACTCAGGTAGTGCTGATGACTAAGAAAGAAGGCGAGCCCCCCAAATTCAGGGACCCTGGTAGAAGACAAATTATACTCAGGAGCCAGGCAGCAAGGCAAACATCTTTACTTCTATGCAGAAGGGTGCGCGCACATGGTCTGGAAGCCCGTGCACACCAAGCAGGCAGTCTGCTTGGCTTTATATTCCCTTATGCGTGTGACCGGTCCCTCACCCTTGACTGGAGCTCAGGCACCCAGTCTTTCGCGATTGGCTAGTTCAAAAGGAGGGGTTGGCCTTTGCTATTTCAAGATGGTGCTCCCAGTGGAGCTGTCATGCGGCCAACATGGCGACTGTCTAAACCAGTGATGGCGAACCTATGACACGCGTGTCAGAGGTGACACGCGAACTCATTTTTTTTGGTTGATTTTTCTTTGTTAAATGGCATTTAAACATATAAAATAAATATCAAAAATATAAGTCTTTGTTTTACTATGGTTGCAAATATCAAAAAATTTCTATATGTGGCACGGCAACAGAGTTAAGTTAGGGTTTTTCAAAATGTTGACACGCCGAGCTCAAAAGGTTCGCCATCACTGGTCTAAACTGTTCTTTGATAGAAAAGATGATTTATTTATTCTCACATGACTTTAATATGGGGGGTCTTTAACAATCAGATCAGATTATGATCACCCATGCTGTGCAAAGTTGTATCTCAAGCTTGTTAGTGTAGAAATCTCAATAGAGAAATAACTTTGAAAACTTTGTCCTACCACTGATATCACTAAACTGCGACCTGTTTAGTTACAGAAAATAGGCTTTAAATCAGTGGTTCTCAACCTGTGGGTTGCGACCCCTTTGGGGGTCAAACGACCCTTTCACAGGGGTTGCCTAAGACCATCGGAAAACATATGTAATTACATATTGTTTTGTTATTAATCACTATGCTTTAATTATGTTCAATTTGTAACAATGAAATTGGGGGTCAGCACAACATGAGGAACTCTATTAAAGTGTTGCGGCATTAGGAAGGTTGAGAACCACTGCTTTAAATGGTTGGTACAGTAATATTTACAACATTTTGAAGGTGCCATCTTTATAGGTAACTTAAAGACCCCTGCTCTGAAAAACAAACAAACAAAAACAGAATTAATGTTTTCTTCAGTTGGGTAGACTCTACCCGGTAGAGAATAATTAGAAATACAATTCAAATCCCATTACAGTTCTGAGGAAATGCTACTGCACTTACAATACCCTCTTTTTAAGTGTCTAAAAGTAAATATATAAACCTTTCCAACAATAACCCAGATTTTCAAATAGTGTGCTTCTGCTCCCGCAGTAGAATCAAGAGGATTTTTTAGCCATTCTGGTCTTTTTATAGCCTTTTTATTGACATGAAGATTTAGACAAGCTTCTATTTTCCAGTCTTTGCTTTTACCAGACCTCATTGGAAGGTACTCTAAACTTTGAGAAAAGTTTACAATCCTTTTGGAATGTCCATTTTTTGCTGGTAAACATTCACCTCTGAGATCATCTCTGGAAAGAACATGACCAAACATTGTATGGGTGTTACAGCCTGTGTTTTTTGACAGCTACACCAACAGCACAGTGTGGAGCCACAGTATAGGCAAGTTTTTCTGAGATTGTATTTTCCCTTAGCTAATTGATATGAAATGATGAGGAGAGAACAGTGAGATAATATTCTTATGATTAGAAAACTATCATTTTCTCCAAAGACTGGAAGGATTGCCTCTGGCAGCCATTGTAGCTAATTTTTTCATAAGCAAGCTGCAAATCCTTACAAGACTTTTAGCACCCCGCTGGGTGTGCCAGCTAGCCTTGCTACACTTTGTGGTATACCCTTTCACTTATGGCCTTGTTTGCATTTTTACACTTTCAGCTCCTTCTCCCACCATCTAACACCTTATTGCCAATCATCAATCATTCCAGTGTTCAAACCTCCCCTTCACTGTTTCCTGAACACATCTACCTTCTTGGCATCAGTACCTTCAGTCCTGTAACATTGTCTGTCTAAAATATCTCCCTCCTTTGCTCTCTCTTCCTTGTAAACTTCTGTTTGCCTTTAATTTATGTGGAACTGAGTTGGTAGATGTAACATCCTTTTGTGTTAGGCAGACAGATCTGAGCAGGGCAAGGACTATGGCCAGGTACAGAAGGTCACCAGGGCAGAAAGCCCTGTGTGCCTAGCAAAAGACATCCTCCCCTACCATATTGCCGGTCATGCAGTTGGACCCCCTGACCTTTCCTCCCTAGAGATAACATCTAGGCCTCAGTTGTATTTCAACTCCAGGCCCAGAAAAGCAGCAAAACCAGACAAGCAATGCCATGTTGTCCTCAGGATCAGCTGCATTGAATAATGACCCCCGCCCTGGCACTGACCAATCAGTGGAGATCTAGACTCTGAAAGGACACACCTGGACACATCAGAGCTGCTTAATATTCTATTGAGACCTCCCCTGGAGCCTCCCTAAAATCTCCACCCGTAAAACCCTTAGGAGGAGGACCCAGCTCTCGCTCCCCAGAGCATGCCAGTGTCTTTTCCTTCCTCCTCTCCCACCTCACCCCCCAGGCAGTACCTTTATCTTCCTCACTTCTAAGTTCCTAGAGCCCTTCCTTTACCTCTATAACTTGTTTCCTAAGCCCATTTCTTCTAGGAATTACTTCTTCTACCTCTGTGTTTTCCAAATAAATGTTCTCTTACAGTTTGGGTCTTGGCTGTGAATTCTTTCCTAGTCAGAACCCAAGTACCGAGATTGCTTAACCCAGGTTTGGTCTGACCTCTCTGGTCTAACACCTAGTGCTGTTCTTGTCATTCCCAACACTTGTGTTCTGATATAAAATTAACATAATAAACATTTTTAACTATTGCATTTTTATCTAGAAAAAAAAACACATTTCTTGTTCCTAATCCCCAAGAGAAGAATTAAGGTCTTGATTTAATCCTGCTTGTTATGTGTCCAAAAGGAAGTGAAAAATCCAAATATAGAACAGATTCAGGAGGAGATTGGCTTGCAGTGGTGATGGGCTAGTTCTTTTCCCTAACCAAGTAGAACTGAAAACACGACTCATGATTTCTGCCCAACATAAGGCCCTGGGGAAGAAACATATGGCAACGTCTGGCTTCAAGAGAGTCTTTCTCAGATAAAGGAGAGATTTTCATGTGGGTATATATGTAATTAGAGAGCCTTGGGGTATTTAGAGGAAGGATGGAGAAGTTTGAAGCACAGTGTCCCTACTTTTGCTAAGAAAGAGGGGACCCTAATCTGTTCTCTTCCTATAAGCTCCTTTCTAGCTTGAGCAAATCAAGAAGGCTACTAATCTTAACTATTTTAATAAAGGATAATCATACTCATACTTTCATTAAAGAAAAGGAGCTTCGCGTAAGTCCAGACATTTAAAATCAGATTTTTCTCAGCATCTCTTCATCCTTACAAAGATGTTTGTAGAATTGTAGAACTGATGTATTAAGGGAGAGGTGATCACACTCAAGTTCTACTCCAGGACTCTCTTTGGCTCCAAATTGTAACTGATAGTGATGTGAGGAAGGTTTCCAGAAGCTAAGGTCTTTGAGTAGTTAAAGTGCAACTTGTAAGATACCCGTGGCATCCATGCTGCTAGGTGAATGGGAACATATAGTACTTACAGGCTCCTTCTGATCATTAGCAAGTAAAATCTTAATCGGGAACACAGGCCAGAGCATCTTACCTATTAGGGTGCTACCTTCCTCCCTCCCAACCTCCCTCTCTCCCTCTCTCCATGTAATAGATTTAGGGCGATATAATTGACATGCTGTATAATTCACCCATTTAAAGTGCATAGTAAATGATTTTTAATTATTGATAAAGTTACTATAAGCCAATTTAGGAACATTTTTCTGACCCCCAAAAAACCCCTCCATTTCTTCTCACTGCCTTAGATAATCTCTAATCTAGTTTTTGTCTCTACATTTATACATTCTAGATGTTTCATATAAATGGAATCATATAATATGTGATCTTTTGTTAATGGCTTCTTTCACTTTTAGCTTAATGTTTTCAAGGTTCCTCTATGTTGTAGCATATAACAGTACTTCATTCTCTTGAGACAGATTAGTAAACCAGG